GTGTCGTAAAAGTCATACTAAAACTAAAAACTTGTAATATTATGACAGCTGATGGTTTAATTCTCTCCGCGGTTTTTTAAAATCCAAACAACAATTCTGAAATTGTGCAAACTGAGCCCAAAAATGTGAAATTATGCGATTCTGTTAATTTTAACAAAGAATGGTAAAGGAAACTAATCAGAAATAATGAGAAAAAAAAAAAGATCAAGTTGTGCTAATTAATTATGCGGGGGGCATAAAACCCCGGGGACAGGTTTAACCGTTAACGACATCCGTCTCCTCACGTTGTTGTGACCCCTTGAATTAGACCCATGTCTGGTTTTCAATAGCTGGTTGCGACATAGCTATTGTCACTGTCGGACGTCCTAATGCTTTCATACTCCCTTTTTGTTGCTTCAGGGCTTCATCATACCAATTGCGATTTTGTTGTTGTATTGTGTTTGTTTTGGGTTGTTGTTTTTTTGTTTGTTTTTTTTTTGTTGTTCTATTTTGTTTTGTTTTGTGTGGGTTTTTTGTGGGTTTTTTTGTGTTTTTTGTTGTTGTTGTTTTGTTTTGGGTTGTGGTTTTTTTGGGGGGGGGGGGGGGGGGGTTGTTGAGGTTGTTTTTTTCGTCAGTATTGAGTAATATCTGGTTAACCTGTTATAACCCCGTTTGCAATGGACCTGTACTGTTAATAATAGTCCCACCTCGCCGGAAACAAAAAAAAAAAAAAACAACTGATGATTAGAATAGATGGTAAGTCGCTTGTGGGTACACGCAGTACACAAGATAAAACCCATTCTTATCATTTGGCTTGAACATGTAGCGACACTTCAAACCGAGCCTGTCGTGGCCCAGTGCTGCCTTCGAACCCCCCCCCCCCCCCTCACACACACACACACACACACAAAAGATTATAATAATTACGTGCATTATCAAGAGAACACAGTCGTACAATACCATACCTTTGAGAATTCACCGACGATATCAGATGTCGAAGCACGGTATGGTTTGTTGTAGTCTTTGCTTCTTGTATTTTTATCTCCACATCGCCTTTGCTCATATCTTCTGGAGGACGTCACTGTCATCAATATCAAGCAAGCCATTGCCCTTTTGTGTTTTAATGATAGGTCATACCCCTGTCTCAGTTTGTGGTGATGGTGATACCTAATAATATGATGACGGTGATATTAATACAACAATTATAATGATAATTGTAATAATTAATAGTAACTGACGATAATAAATTTCGCTTAAAAAGTGCTCAATGCGCTTTACAATAGTAATACATGTACAAAGAAAACGATCGCACCATACGGTTCTAATAATTATCTCTTCTCTATTTCTCTCTCCCCTCTTTCTATCTCTTTCGCTCTCCCCCCTCTCTCTCTCTCTCTCTCTCTCTGTCTGTCTGTCTGTCTCTCTCTCTCTCTCTCTCTCTCTCTATATATATATATATATATATATATATATATATCTCTCGCTCTCTCTCCATTCTATAAAAAAAAAATTCACACGCACACACTGCATGAACAAAGTTAATAAATATAGATCTAGTAGTTCTGAAAGAAACATAATAATGATTAATGTGTTTTGGAAATGCCCGTCATCACTAATTGCATTGTATTCCCTAGTCTTCTGGATGGGGGCCTCGCAGACCCCAACAGGTATATTTCAGGCATTTTCGACAAAACTTTTGGTTCGATGTTGTTTTCCTCCCAGGTATTCTTCAAACACCCTTTGATAAGCATGAATACGGTCTATGAAGTTATTTGGATAATTTGGAAGACAGTGATGACTATTTTCCTAGGACAACCCCCCTGAACCCTAAAGGGGGCCTCTCAGACCCCAAGGCATTTTTACTATAATAGGAAAGGCAGTTCTCCTCCTGTCAAGTATATGCACCGAATGGCAGCTTCGATGAGGAGACTGGGTAAGCAGAAATCAACATTTATTACAACAAAACAAAGGGCGGGTGGACTCTCTGGATCAGATGGTCCCTGCATACATGTCAAAGAGGCAGGCCGTGAGATGGCCTCAGACTTTCTTCTGCAATCTGTTGGATATTGCAGCTATTGCTGCTTACTTCTGCTTCACTGCTCAAAATCCCCGGTGGAATATCTGCAAGAAACACAGGAGAAAAATCTTCCTCGAGATGTTGGGTGATGAGCTCTGCTTGCCATAATACAATGCCGGGCTGCCACTGAGAACATCCCTAAGTCAGCTCGTATGAGCATGCTTCTCTGTGGTGTCACACCACTTACCCAACCCAAGAAGCACGAGCACTGGCCACTGAACATGGGCAAAGAAAGAGGAAACGATGAGGACTTTATCAGAGAAACAAGGACAGAATATCTTGTGGAATATCAGTTTGTGGGGAACACTCTGTTTCCAAGCGCGTTTGTCTTCACTGTCAGTAGACACTCATATTCCGAGCACTTGTCTCCTGGTCTTCGGTGCCAGTACTGGCACCAAGTTACTATATGTACCACACTATTTTGGCATCATCCGAATTATCATTTACCGTAACCAAGTCTTCTTGGGCATTTTCATGAGATTCATTTTTAACTGAAAAACTACCACATCATCATTTAAATTCAATCTCATTATTCAGCAATAAAAACTGCAAGCTCATGACATGACCGACCCACAATCATTAGGAAAAAAAGTGCCAGAATTGCATTGATTTCTTTAGTCTAACCTCATTCAAAGTTGTTCACCAACTAATATATGATAGATAAAGTTCAATAAATGTGTTCGTTAAACAGATTATATCTGTATGTGTAGTCTTGGGTGTTTTGTTTCAACGTTTCTGTGTTTAAGTTTCTGTAAATGATGGTCAACCACCAAGTTTATCCATAAAATGCAAAGGATAAATAGTGGGGTCTGAGAGGCCCCCTTACAGGCTTCTAGGGAAATCGGACCATCCAGAAGACTAGGGTTAAAGCTGGCCACAAACAAATGAGCTAAAATGAGCGATTATTTTAATTTTGATAAAAAGGAAGATCTGGAATCCCGTAGGTATGCTAACTGGTGGTAGTAATGCGTTCCACGGGGAGGGGGCGTAGTGGGGGAAAAACGGTCTCCTTCCAAGACTCTGACTTTTTCTTGGGACTGGTCTTAATAAACAGACTGGCGTCTGTGGTGTAGCGGATAGGCACTTCGCTGTTACACACAGGAGAGCCGTGTTCGATTCCCGAGTGGGAAAGAAATTTTTATCCAGTAGATCTATTTCGATCCATCTGCTGGGATGCTGTATCTCTCTTAGCCCGAGGGCTCTCGTGGTCCAGATGCAAGGTGTTCGCCTCTCATTTAAAAGTCCAGGGTTCGAATCCGAACTGCGACGGAAAATTTTCTTCTCTAAAATGTTCTCCTTTCACTTCTTTTCCTGCTCTCTAAAAATGTTCTGTCGTCTGCTTTCATCTCCACTTGCTGCCCCCACCCCCTCACCTCCTTTGCCCCCTCCTCTGGGCTCCTGACTCTTTCTGCAGCCTTTGTACTGCTACTCCTTGTCTCCTTCTTACTGCTGTCTTTCAGCCACACCCCTGATCTTATTGTAGGTAAGATCTACAACTAGCCATCTCGGATAACGGCGAAAAATCTAGGAGGAGGTCCCGTGTGTAAGTCACGCACGTTAAAGATCCCTTGGTGGACCAAAATCGATAAGAGTAGGCTTTTGCCGCCACCTGGCAAAATTCAAAATTTTCTACCAACGGAAAAATGTTCAATGGGTCCCTCGCGCTCATATATGACTTTACGCAGTTGCGAACGCCGTCAAAAACTTACCAAAGAAAAAAAAACACCCTTAGCCCAGGTTAACCCTGAAGGCAGGATCAGAAACATGTCTCCTAAATAATCTTATTAGTGTTGATGGGGAGATTTAAATAGGTTTTAACGGTCTTTTTTTTGGGGGGGGGGTGTCTAAAAGGCCGAGATGTTACGTATTCAAAGACCTTGTCGCAAAGATACATTATGATAGTGCCATGTTACGTACGCAATTAAAATAACGGGTGGCTATCTTGTACTGAATGCATCCTTTCACAGGGATCCAGTGAAGTTGTATGTACAGTGGTATTAAATGTCCTTTGACATGTCTAAAACGCGAAGCTGCAAGCACAGAGGTGAACGTTATTTGTAACAACACTGGTATAATATTAATATATATATACCATGTCAGACAATAAAGCGGGTGGTTGGAAGGCATTACTTGTGGTAGGTCCTACTTCTTTACTTTCCCTCCGTTGTTTCTGTATGTCTGTCTTACTTTTTCCAACCACTGAATGATCCTTACTAGGTCGATGTGCTTCTCTTTACTAAAATAAAACAAACAAACACGAATACATGTTATAAAACCAGAGTCTGTGGTGTCGTGGTTGGGCGTTTTGCCGCCGCACACCGAAGACCTGGGTTCGATAACCGTGTCGGGAGAATTTTTATATCGATCTTTCTGCTGGGGCATTGTATTGTATCCCTTTCAACCTAGGTTGGCCCTGTCAAGCAGGATCGAAGCCGACCTTCTAGTTCTAAATAATCTCAATTATGTTGATGGGGACCTAAAAAAACGCCTATATAATCAGACGGTTATCTTGTCATGGTCTATGGTGTGGTATGTTTTGGGGTTAACACTACGTTTATACGAGGGGCGGGACCTCCAAATTGATCTTCCACTGTCTCCGATTGAAGGGCTGTGAAAACTTCCCAAAAATTCAAGTTCGCGAACAACTCATTGGAGATTCGAACCAGGATCATCCTCGTGATACTTAGCTAGCGGGGTTGATGTCAAGTTTCTACAAGGACTTAACACCCTCCTGTGTTGTTGTTATCGATCCAGGGCACGGTCCAGTAAAATATACAACAAAAACTTCTTGTTATCAATAATTTTTGTGGTACAAATATGTTACGCTGTAGGACAGCAAGTGGGACCCATCCATTCTAAGTTAGGTAACACCATCACTTTTACAGATAAAGATGTTGCAATACTATTTATCATCCGTATATAAGCAGATAGGTCGAATGATGAAACTAAGAACTCAAAATCAGGAACATTTTGTTGAAAGAACACCCGAAGCAGATCCGAGAGAGAAAAACAGTTTGTCCGCTTATACGCCTCTAGAGGAATATGAATCAAGTATTGTTCACAGGTAAACTTTGTGTTAAATAAGTCTTGAGTAACTTCTATTTTAATGGAATATGTAACATGATTATGACATGACATGAATATATCAGTAGTTTTTTTATTTCCTGGCACGGTTTCTTTTATTAATTGCTGCTGTTGTTATAGCAAATATTATCGGCGTCTGGGGTGTAGCGGTGAGACACTTCGCTGTCACGTACAGAAGAGCTGAGTTCGACTACTGTTGGGGGAGAATTTTTATCGAGTATGTCGGTCTTTTTGCTGAGATAAAGTAATAATCCTCAGGCTGAGTTGGCCCTGACAGGCAGGGTCGAGCCCGCCTCTTAAATGATTTTAAAAAATGTGTCGATGGGGGCTTAAAGACCCCTACATTAAAATTTTAGAGTAACTATAATATGTTAATTATACACATAGTTTTTACAGCCAACGACGTGGTAAAACACAGATTAGCTTAATACTATTTATACATGTTTGTGGTAAGGTCTCTCTGTAACGTTGTTGGCTATCAAAAGTGGCTCGCTCTGTTTTAATGCAGTGTACTCAAATTTTTCTATTGCTCTGGATTCATTTTTTTATGTTTGACTCTGGCTCTGGCGTGGCCCAAGGTTTAATTTAAAACTTTCAAGGATAATGTAGTGAAATGGTCTATCTATTTATGCTCGTATCTTGTGCTTTTTTATATTATAAACAGTTTTCCTGGCTTCGATGGCTTGCTGTGCGTCCAGTTTGCCTACATTTTGCAAGAATCAAAGTGACCATGTCGCTACCTGCCTGAAAGACGCCGGCTTGGAGAAATTCTATAATTTCACTAGTGCAGGAATAATACCCAAAACCAAGGTCAGTGACGTTCAGCCTTGCATTGCAATCATGAAGGAAGGTACAGATCTACGGTTTCTTATCAGTGAAATACATGTATGTGATTGTTTTTTGTCCGTTTTTTCTCATCTTTGATTGTCTTGGGACGAGTTGCCTAACAGTTATCTATTACGAACACTTTCTTTGAATCATTCAAGAGCACATTGCACACACAAAAATTATTTTTGAAATCAATGCAAAGAGGAGCTGATGAAAGCAGCAGAATACTGGTACTGAAATCATAAATTAACAAGCCAGTGGTTTTAAGGATTATAATTAAATTGAAATTTTCAATTTGTTATGCCACCCAGTATATATAGAATCCTGGAGCATTGGTAGGCACGCTAACAATGTTAAAAATTGCAAAGAGTACAGTATCTTTGCTTTGGACTTTGGTCAAAGAAGAAAAGCGAACATCCTTGTGAGAAAAATAAATAAGGATCGATGGGGACACATTAAAACAGTTTTCTGAGGGGGAAAAAAAAACCAACACTTCGTGGGCACGAACGTTTATTTATGGTGCTCAACAAGTAGACAATGAAAGGTGCATCCATTTCTTTTTGTACTGTATTTGTATATCGTAGTAATGACGTGAAGTTTACATCTAACTTGACTTTATTGGAGACTTCATTTTCTGCAGGTCTATTTTTTTTTTCATAGATCTATGCAGATCGGAACTTTATCTGCACACAAACTCGTAAGTCAGCAGGAGTTTCTTGCTGTTTCATGAATAATAAGTACGCTTGAAGTGATATGCTGGTGGTATCATAGCTGTGCGCTATAACGGTCTTTCAAAGTTTCTGGCTTTCGTTGCCATTTTGGAGGCCATTGTGGACTTCACGTAATATTATTGTTCGTGTGCAATGTTACCTCGCCAACAAAATACGAAAGACTGCCTTAACACTATTCAAAATATTATGCATAAAAGCATTCTATGAGAAAAACAGCAGTGAGCTTGGCAATGCGTTCACTAAAAATATAAAATATACAATGCAATCAAAATTCCCGAAGGGCCATAATAAAACTGAAACTTGAATAACTAGAAATATTAATTAAAACATTCGTTCTCTATAAATAGAAAGACAGTACTCAAACATCAAACACAGGTGTCCATGTATGTATATATATATGTGTGTGTGTATGTGTGTGTACGTGTGTGTGTGGGGGGGGGGGGGAGGGTGTGGGGGGCAGGGGAGGGGGATGCGCATGTGTGTATATGTGAGTGTATATGTGTGTGTATGTGTGTGCATATGTGTGTAAGCCTACAGCCATTTTTTCTTTGGATTCTGCGCTCATTGCTCTTTATGTATTTCTTTGGAAAACGCTATCGCCATAAAACGCCTAAAAAGTCCAGTAACTCAAGTAAAAAGGAAAAAAAACCTTAGCTTCATTTTTTTTTCAAGCAGCAACGGATGTCTCTTATGAGAGTATCGAAGGGATATCAATATCGCTTTTCATCGCTGCTAGAGTTGTGAACCATTAGTACCCGGTATTGTTCAAAGCTGTGGTCTTGTAGAAATGTTGTCCTTATTATAGATTTAAGCAAGCTCATCATATTTTGTGTTCTCAGGACCTACGTTTCTTCTGTGACAAAAAGAAAATCTACGCAACAGGGGTAGACTGCATGCAGAAAACTGTGAATACGTGTAGTCCAAATAGTGAGTATTCCTGCAATTAATTAGTCTCGAGAGAGCCCAAATTGGAACTAAGTAATGTTCGAGTTTTGTGTATAACCCATGACGTAATCCATTACGTATCAACAGTAACAATTGCCCCAAAACGTTACCCGTTCATTGTGTAGTTTGCTCACTTTCGTCTGGCCGCGGTTACAACAAGATAAAACACATTTCCCGCTTAATCTTCTCGTGTCTTTGCATGCGGGACTAAACACTGGATGACCAACAGAATCTAAAAGCTCATTAGTGAGGATCACGGCAAACTAAGAATACTACTATAACTAATGGTATTTTATTATACATTGTTATATAACATTTATAGAGCGCTGTACCCCAAGTAAGCAACACAGACTCTGATCGCTTTACAAGCAAGTAGCAACACATAAACCGTATTTTTTACATTTTTTGACAAAATATGTTTTTTAAAAGGCTGAAACACGATAAGTCTGAATGACGTCATGGGCAAAATAATACCCAAGACTAAGTACATGTACGTTTTCTGTAATATTGGCCCTTTGATGTTAGGCCGCAAAATATTAAGGGATTTACAGCATACATCTAGAACATTTTAAAAAATTGAATTAATGTTTATCAACACCGCACACCTTTGTAACACGGTCCAAAGGACGGGTTAGAACTTTCGAGATTCACATAGAGACGTCTAGACGATCTTCGGAGGAAATCTACAAGATTACACTGAAATACTAGTGCAGGGTGCTGTCGCTGTCTCAAAATGAGGAAGGTTTATATTAGGTTACTGTAAGTCGTATTGTATTAAAATGATCATGTGCACGCGTTTAAACGACGGTGTTTAATATAGAGCCCAAATTGAGAAACTTTTTTTATTACTGAATCAATATTTTTTTAAACGATATGTCTATTTGGTCACTGGCATGGCATACAGGAGTTCCATGCAGAATTTCACGTGCATTGGTAAATTGATAAACAAGCTAAATAACTTTTAAGGCGTGCAGACGAAAGTGAACAAGTTATAAATAGTGAAAAGTATTAACCATATACATGTACTTAGTCTTGGGTATTATTTTGCCCATGACGTCATTCAGACTTATCGTGTTTCAGCCTTTTAAAAAACATATTTTGTCAAAAAATGTAAAAAATACGGTTTATGTGTTGCTACTTGCTTGTAAAGCGATCAGAGTCTGTGTTGCTTACTTGGGGTACAGCGCTCTATAAATGTTATATAACAATGTATAATAAAATACCATTAGTTATAGTAGTATTCTATCACCTTACAGCGCTATAGTAGTAGTAGTAGTAGTAGTAGTAGTAGTAGTAGTAGTAGTAGTAGTAGTAGTAGTAGTAGTAGTAGTAGTAGTAGTAGTAGTAGTAGTAGTAGTAGTAGTAGTAGTAGCAGAAGTAGTAGTAGCAGCAGCAGTAGTAGTAGTAGTAGTAGTAGTAGCAGCAGCAGCAGCAGCAGCAGCAGCAGCAGCAGCAGCAGCAGCAGCAGCAGTCGCAGTAGCAGTAGTAGTAGTAGTAGTAAAATACAGGATCAAATACAAAACTGCTGTTTCAGTTTCAAATGTATAAATGATACTGCACCTATTTATCTATAAGAATTTCTGGAATTGTATCATCCTCCCAGAGCCCTTAGATCAGCCACAGACAATCTAATTCTGAGAACCCAAAAGCAAAATTAAAAAACGTACGACGAATGTGCCTTTTTATTCTTTGGTCCCCATGTATGGAACGAACTCCCTTATAATATTAGGAGTGCTCCTAGTATTCGCATTTTCCAAAAGCAGCTGAGGCATATTTTATTCATAAATGCATACCTGTCAAAACGATGAACTGATATATAATATGAATGTGTATGTCTGACTGTGAGACTGGAAAAATAGCGTGTGAGAATGAGAAAGAGAAAGAGAGCGAGGGGAGAGAGAGAGAAAGAGAGAGAGAGAGAGAGAGAGAGAGAGAGAGAGAGAGAGAGAGGGGGGGGGAGGGAGAGAGAGAGATGAAGAGAGAGAGAGAGAAAGAAAGAGAGAGGGGGAGGTGGAGGGAGAGAGAGACAGAGAGAACGGTAATGTTTTTCTATTTATAGAGAACAAATGTTTTTATTGAATGTCTCTAGCTATTTAAGTTTCAATTTTATTGAGACAGTTCATGGGTTTTTATTGCATTCTATATTTTTAACGAACGCATTGCCAGGCTCATTGTGTGAATATTTTTTCTCATATAAAATTTTGTACATATACATATTTATGCACAGATCTAATACTGTGTTTTACGCACAGACGTGTCCATTAATTTTTAAGGTTTTGATATTTATATTGATGTAATGCGCTTTGAGTATTTCTTTGGAAAAAGGAAATGTGCAGTATAAATTCTATTTATTATAACTATTATTAATCTATTATCTTGTCCAGCACCTACAGTGGCGTCGGTAGTCTAGTGGTCATGCTACTGGACTCGTAACCCTGAGATTGTGGGTTCGGGGTTCGAGCCTCAGCACTGTCCGATGGTGTGTACTTGGGAAATACACTTTACACGAATTTCCTATTTGGCTTGGTTCTTTCGGAGATGAACGTTAAACTCGGAGGTCCCGCTTCTTAAATACCCCAATAGTGTTGATAGTGATAGGGCCGTTAAACCTTTACCATTTCACTATTTTTTTTCACCAGTTCCTATCATCTTTTCGGGCTATGACTACGGTTTGAGGATAATCACCGGTATCTGCAACGACCCCAAAGTGAATGTGCACTGCTACCTGTATGTCAACACCAAAAATGGGGAAATGCGCAGCTGCATCTCTCGGAGTATTGTTGATTATTCGGTAAGCCCTGGGATTTCTTTTTCGTTTAATTGTTGTGTTTTAAAAATTTCCATTGCGTGTTGTCAACAAAGAGGAACAGGAGTTTGGATGTAAAGATGAACACCCTGTTTTGCATCCTCAGGGTTGGTAGTAAGGAGATAGATATTAAGGAAAGACACTCAGATCATACACATGTTGCCTTTTTTTTTGTTGTTGCTGTTTTTGTAAATTCATAGATTATTGGGTGGGTGGTCTATGTCCACAAAAAATCTAACATTCATCTATCCTTCCATCCATCAGTCCATCAATCTATACATCCACCCATCTATACATCTATTTATCCTTCCAGTCGTACACAGACTTACAAACACACACATACACACACACATACACACTCACACAAACACACACACACACACACACACACACACACACAGATCGCTGTCAGCTACAGAGTGTAAAACCCCTTATACTGAAGTCTGATCAATCGTGTAGAGCGATTTTGAAGAAACACGCCTTCATCGATGCTTCGAAGTGTGAAATTATTATTCGTGCCATTCGAATATCTGTGTGGAGGCTTTCTTTTTTTTTTCTAATCGGTTTGTCAGCAAGGTTAGATTTATAATATTCATTATTCACGTATCACTTTATCTCAAAATCATCAAATTTAAAGTATATCTGTATTAACCTTCATACATAATATTGGTAGGCCTGCATGTAATAATATGCTCTGATATCGTTATGACGGTTGAAAGAAAAATGCAACGAAAAATAAAATCCATTGCAAATAAAAACGACACGACATTCGATGGCTCAGCAACGCTTCGAATAGCTGTGAACAGCAACAGAATCGCTACATGTACCGTGCATCGTAAGAACGGTGCATAGAAATGCCACCTGGTGACGCCATGGTGCTAAACTTAAACGAATTATTCCACAGGATATATCTAAAATTAGATCTATGATACCTTTCAGGGTACGGAGAGAGCGGATTGTGCAATCGTGACTGAGTCTCGTAGATGCGTTGAAGAAGTGATTAGGCCTTGCGATGAGCACACTGCACATTTTGCTGGACGGATGATAGACCCGGAAGTCGAACGATTCTGTCGTCATTAATTTTTTCCTAGAACTGGTCACCTGTTTACTGTCGAGACAAGACCTTGCGAGATGACGCAAGTTACAAACCTCGACGCTCAAGATTAATTACCAGATTCGATTTGTGTGACTTTTTTCTGCCAGGGGGAGGGGGGGGGGGGTCAAATTCAATATCTGTTGCACATGTTGTGATGATGTACACGTTCTGGTTTGTAGTGATTTCCAACAGCTGTATTGGCCATTTTTAAAAGTTAAACGCATTATTCTTAATATTATTTTGAGAAAAAAAGTAAGCGGGCTTTTCTAATTATTCTGGAAACGAAGGGTGTTCTGTCGTAACCATTTATTCCTCAGTTCTGTATCGATTATATATTATTATTGCTTCGTGTGAGCCAATAAACTGCATTGAACGAAGCTTCCTGGGTATTTGTTAACCTCGCTGCGTGGTTTTAGTCTGTCATTTGTAATAATTTCCCTTTATTCAACTTTTGTTGTTGACCACATTGTAAGTTTATATCTTGAAACCAAGGGAGAGCTTGTCTGGCACAGAAACTTCTCTTTTTTTTTTTTTCAAAAGACTTTATTAAAAAAGATTATCAAATATTTTTGTTTTAAAGTGTTGCGCCGGGGGGGGGGGGGGGGGGCTCTCGTGGCCTAGAGGTTAAGGTGTCCGCCTCTCATTCAAAGGTGCCGGGTCCGAATCAGGGTAGGGACGGAAAACATTTCTTCTCTAAAATTGTCTTCTTTCTTCTTTCACCTCCTTTCCTGCTTTTTAGCTATGTTCTGCTGTCTGCTTTCGTCTCCACTTTCTGCCCTCACCCTCTCACCTCCTTTGCCTCCTCCTCTGGGCTCCTGATTCTTTCTGCAGTCTTTCTATTGTTACATGTACTCCTTGGCTCCTTCTTACTGCTGTATTTCAGCCACACCCCTTTTCTTCTGGTAGGAAAGATCTATACCTAGCCTTCTCGGACAAGGTCGGAAAATCTCGCTGGACCCGTGTGCAAGTTGCGCTCATTAAAGATCCCTTGGTGGTCTAAATTCGATAAGAGTAGGCTTCGGCCGTCACCCGGGGCAAAATTCAAAATTTCCTACCTACTGAAAAAGTTTAATGTGTCCGCGCGCTCATATGACCTTTATGCAGTTGCGAGCGTCGTAAAACACTTACAAAGAAACATTTTAAAAAATAATAAGTGTTGCGTTGACAATGTCTTTGAGGTCATCAAATAGAGTTAGGTCGAAAATTTTGATTTTTTTTTTTTTTTTTTTTTTTTTTGGGGGGGGGGGTTCTTTTAAAACTGGCATTACACTTTTCTTTGGTAGGTACTGTATCATTCACTACTTTCTTGTTTTTAAATACCCTGTGAAAAACAGTGTCAGAGTTACTCACAGAGATCTGTTTTAGAAATGTGACGTGTTCCTCTCGGAGTTCGATATGAAGCTCATGAGGTATTATGAATATCGTTTGGTGCTCAGAAGAAGAAGAAGAAGAAGAAGAAGAAGAAGAAGAAGAAGAAGAAGAAGAAGAAAAACTGATACAGCCGACCATGAGGAGAAAGCACTGACGAAGGTAAGGAAAGCGTAATGAAGAAGGGGAGACCGGAACAATGACAGTGTAGTCCCAATAAGACGACATAATAAAGTCTTCGATTTTCTTCAGGACACGATTGAAGACTTATGCTCAGCGCCAGTTAAGTTTTTGATGTTGTCAGGCTTCGACTCTCAGTGAGCGACTTGTTTGTTTTCCACATCGTTATCGTTTCAAATTCTTCTAATGCACGTTATATTTGTTAAACGCAAAAAGTCTTCTCACATACCCACTGCCACTCTCAGTCAACCAGCGTCTGTGGTGTAGAAACACGAGTTCGATTCCCGAATGGGACAAAATATTTTATTGAGTATCTTTGGTCATTCTGCTGGGATGTTGTATCCCTCTCAGCCTGAGTTGACCCTGACAGGCAGGATCGGAGGCCCGCCTCCTAAATGATCTAAAGTTTCTTGACAGGGGAGTAAAACTCACTGTTGTGTCAGCTTCGATTGCACACAATATACGAACTTAAACATACAAGGAAACGCTTCTGCTTCAGAGTTATGAACTACTTACAGAAGGAAAGGGTGTATTGCGGCACCAACATAGTATAAAATGCCTACTGCAACAATCACTGCTGCTGTCATCTTTACTGACTTAAACTAAAGTCAATTTTACGGAGAAATGGCGAAGATTGAGGTCAACATCGGGAGCGTCCGGCGGTAATAACCCTGTTCCCCCTTCGGACGAAGGCAGCGTCCTTTACTAGTGACAACTGTTTCGCTTTATTTAGTGCTAGTTTTTGCTTGTTTTTCGGAAATATTCCTCAACCAAGTTTTTTTAGGAAAGACTAAGCGTTTGTTTCTACCATTTGGAAGTTGGAGGACTGTAGAAAAAAATCCGGAAAACGGTGGCAAAAAACTCAGGGTTTAAAGAGTTAATTAAGACAGTCCCACGTGCTGAGAAACTGCTCTCTCCATGTTCTACATTGGACAGACAGATAGACAGACATACAGACAGACAGACAGATACATACATACACAAAAACACATACAAATATGATATTATTACTATGTGTGTTTGAGATGTATGCATCATAGAAGAAAAGCAGGCCTAGTAAAAGAAACATTACATAAAAACAATAATATAACCATGCAACAGGCGATACCACAAAGAAGGAAAAGACATGATTTGCTTCTCCCCTCGACACAGACTCTAACGGAGGTCGGTAGAATTTTAAAAATGTGTGTGAGTGTGTGCGTGTGTGTGTGTGTGTGTGTGTGTGTGTGTGTG